GCTGGTAGGGACAAACCCCAGGCCATCATAAAGCAGATTCCCATGGGACCCAAGAGTAGATCATCCTACTCCAGTAGCCCTTCCTGTTGGGTTTACCTGGTAGCAAGAATGATGGAGAGTCTACACAAGAACAAAACTGCTGGCCACCAAGGTTGAGGTGCTAAATCTTAGAGATGCTAAATCTTGTTCCTTAGAGATGCTTAGAAAACTCCTATGGAGGATTTACTTGGGATTCAGTATATGCCAGGTGACCTTGGAACTGCCAACCAGCCCGAGGGTTCTACCATTCCCCAGTGATTCTGACTCTGAGAACCCTGCCCACTGTTCCCACTAAGACCCAGAGAGCCCTGTGGGCTGGTACCTTGCCGGCGTAGTGGATAATGGAGAACTCAGTCTTGTCCTTGAGCTGCTTGGGTTTCTGGAACTTGGGGTGGTTGCCCTGCTCTGACATGAGCTTCTCCACGAAGGACGTGTCTGTGGCTTTGGGGAACCAGCACTCCTCATCCAGCAGGGCCAGCACACCTGGAGGATTGTTCTGAGGAAGACAAAGAGGGTAGGGTCAGAGTCGGAATGAGGGCCAGACTTCAGGCTCCGCAGAAAGAGCTGGCCATCAGAAGAGACCAACATCATCCCCTAGCTCCACTACTATATTTGCTTTAGGGATATTACACCCCCCCCCCAAAAAAAATCTATCCTCAAATTACTCTGTGTCCAGTGGACCCTGATTAGGGAAAGAAGGAGGGCATTAAACTAAAACCAGTTGCGTCTAGTTGATTCTAAGTCAACCCAACCCTCTGGGAAACAGAGTTGAACTGGTAACCATAGATTCAAAGAAGAAACTAGCCTGGAGGATTAATAGTCTACACGAACCATGGTTTTATTACATTATTACACAGAGATCAGAACTAGATGGTGCCTGGTGACCACCACTAGCCATTCAATCATGGATTAATTGATAGACCCTGATCCCATGGGAGAAAACCCAGTGGGCTGCCAAGGCTGTGATGCTTTACATCAGCAAACTGCCACCACTTCCTCCCAGTGTTGAGTGCTTCCCCACGGAGCAACACACACAGACACAGCATCACAAAGATAGTACCAATCTTCCCGAGAATTGTAATGCGTTACAAACAATTCTCCTTGGTGTGGGTTAAGCATTTCCTTGCGGCAGAAGCACTGCTCAACTAAGTTGTCTGCAGACAATAAGTTGCATTACTTTATTGGGTGTGGGAAACAGAAAGATTTCTCTCAAGTTGTCTCCCCCAAATATGTTAGACTTAGGGCACTGCTTGCAGCTAATAGTAAAAGTCATTTCCCTTGAGGCAATCAACTACCAGACTGATGTCTCCTGGAGTGGGCCTGTCTCCCTGCTGCTGGGGACAATGGACTACTTCCCCCTGAGGCTTGCAACCTTCAGCTTCCTGTAGGTGGGGTTTACACCCTATGATAATGGTTCTTTTTTGTTTTTTTATTTTAATTTTTTTTATGATAATGGTTCTTATGGAGATCCAGAGAACAGATCAAACCTGCTCAGTGACATCCAAAGTTAGGCTGCCGTCCTGAATCTAGGATCCACCCATCTTGTCACATGCATACCCCCAATCCCTCCTCCTCCTATTGCGTGTATGCCCCTAAACCACCCCCTTCCATAACTGTATTACCTATAGCACAACCCTTTCCTGTGATGTATGTCTTCATCTGTAATTAGGGGGCTTGCATGTCTCCAGAGAATATAAAAGCCTTGGTTAGCATTAAATATCACTCTCTCCCCACGTGGACCACCAAGTGGGGCTGAGGTGAGCACTGCTACCATGAATTGTGTCTGACCCCATTATTCCTATCTCTCTTCTATCTCTCATGCTCTCTATGACTTTAATATAATATTTATATATCTCAACCGTACAATTGTGCCTATCGAACCCGTGACTAGTGGTGGGGGGCTGGCGTCTCTCAGAAGTAGGCTATTAGGCCCTCTCTGTAAATTGAAGAATTCTACCAACACAAAAACAAGCATCCAAATCAATGTGAAAGGGCATGGATATAGTGGAGACCCCAAAACCCACTTGTAAGATAATTGGACAGTCCCTCTCAGAAGGGCCACACAAAAGGGATGATAAACCCAGGGTGTGGTATAACACTGATGACCCATATAACTATCCTTCAGTGCAGTGGTTCTCAACCTTCCTAAGGCCGCGACCCTTTAATACAGTTCCTCATGTTGTGGTGTCCACCCCAACCATAAAATTATTTTCGTTGCTACTTCATAACTGTACTTTTGCTACTGTTATGAATCAGGAGACTCCTGTGAAAGGGTCATTTGACCCCTAAAGGGGTCTCGACCCACAGATTGAGAACCGCTGCTCTAATGCTTTAATAGTTCCTCCCCTTACTATTACGGTTTTTATTTGTTTTACCCTACAACCGCAATTGGGGAATGAGTTTTAATGCCCACTTCACAGAGAAGCTCTTGTAACCGCCCTGTCCAAATCCAGCTCCGTCAGGTATTCCTCACATTGCCCTTATAGGGAGTTTGATTTGTTTCTCTGTTGTGCTGTCTGTTCCTTTAGGAGGGTAGACCCTGTCTACCTTCCTCACAGCTGCACCCTCAGTTTCTAAAGAGAGGGTCTTGCACACAGTCGGTGCTCAGTAAACATCGTTTGGCAATTATTCGATCTGAGCGCCAGTTCTAGGCATGTGGAATGCATCAGTGAACAGGATAAAGTAATGAGTGAATGGGAGAGAAAGAGAGGG